ATGAGGATCGACATGCAACGCACTGTTGATCTAGTTGAGCACTCCAAAGTCAATAGGTGAGCCTCCTTTCATTTCAGAGGACATCTTTTTATTGCTTTCTAGATTAGTTCAGTAGAATGTTGTGGGATCTGTCCCAACATTCATCTCAGTCAGTTTAGAGGCTTCTTAGACAGTTAGTAGTCCAGTAGTCTTTACTTTTCATTCTTAAGTTAAAGACTTAATTGCCATTTTGGCCAGTTTCAAATGTTTAAACTTTTAAAACATTGCAGATGATATTATTGTTTAGTTTAGTGAAGTTCTAACATTCTTATAAGAATGATTTTTGTCATCCGCTAAGTTAAGTAAGCAAGGACAAGGGTTTGCTCGAGACCGACAATGGTCATCGAGTGTCAATCCTGTCCAGGATGTAGGCTCGAGGCATGACAGGTTTATCCTTTATTGCAATATATGAGTAACTATTTTGTTGTATAATAAAATTGAACATTAGAAAAGTTGTAAGCACATTTACAAAATAACATTTTCAAGATATGTATTCACGTTTTGCGATATAGTTTGATTCTCGTTTTGAATTGTCTTTATTTCAGACATGTGATTTCATCATCAAAAGTTGATTAATATTATTCTATAAAAACATAAGAAACACCTTTATTGAAATTTTGCCTGCCAAATTGAATCATTTATCGTAAAAATATACAATCATCTATACTCATTAACTGAAGTTTTGACCAAAAAGAGCTATTTTTAAAACCAATTCACCAAAATAATATGTTTTTAACTTTTTTCACAAAACTAGTATAAACGTACTTTATGATAACGTTTTAGGATATTTTCATTATAAAAATTCAACGGACAAAAAGTTAACGGATTGGCGATGTTAAACGCATAAACGTAACTGTGAGTAACGTTTTCTACCTAAAACGTTACTCAAGAGTACGTTTTTGGAGAATCCAATCACGGGCCACTGACTCCAATCCTGCAAAGGCGGAGTCAAATCATTCAACTGTAAAACGTTACTATGAGTAACGTTTTACACTTAAAATGTTACTTTGAGTCCCATTTCTTAAGAATCCAATCACGGGCCTTCGACTTCTGCAAATTTAGAATATATTTAGCTATAAAACGTTACTCACAGTAACGTTTTACCTTAAAAACGTTGCTATCAATTACAACACTCTGTTAAAGTCATATTCCTCCATTTTTCAAACTGACCAAAGTGAGTATAAATAAATGTTGTTGTAATTTTTTTTCATGTTCAAATATAATTCAGGAAAATTTTTCCTTGTATGGTCCATTTTAAAAATAATATTCAGAAAATTTCATCAGGTATGAATTAAATAAGTGAAGTTTATCCTTTGTTATGTTCTTATTATAGCTTTAAAATTATCTTTCTAATTTAATAATAATGTTTTCAAAAATATTTTATCTTTATGTGTAGGATTAAGATGACGAGCTTTGAACATAATGTGATGGTTGCTTTGTATTGGGGTGGAGAAATAATTACGGATATGAATGGATTTAGGTATACTGACTGTGCTAGAACGATTATTAGCATGTCGACTTCAACTACCTATGTTGAATTGGTTGGATTGTTACATGAGAAAATGGGAACATATAGTGAAAATATTCATATGGATATTTCTGGAAAATATCCATGTTCAATTCAAGGCAACAATACAAGGTTCATTGAGTTTAAAATTGAGAATGACCAATCTTTGTTACAATTTCTTTTCATACCTCAAAAATTTGCGGATAAGATTGATATAAATGTTTTGGAGATGTATGTAAAGACTGTATCGACAGGCCAAAATGTTGCATTTCAAGTTAGTGGTCATCATGGTTATCACATGAATTTGTTGGCTCAAAATTATGGCCTTACCACGATCAATCAACCTCATTTTGTAGAACCGATTGTTCAACCATCATTTCAACAAGTGTTGATGCATGATCATCGATCATTTGGTGAAGGCTCAAGTAGTCAAATGCATATTGATAATAGTCACATGGAATATGAGGCTAGGTAAACAACAAATCTTTATTTTATTAAACTTTAGTCTAACAATTTAATAAGATAATTTTTATTGTAAGTATACACAAATTATCTCTTATAAATAGAAGAAATAATATTTTAGAATATTTATTATCGCTTTTAAAACAAGCTTGTATATTTATAATTTTGCTAGAATTTGACTAATATTTTTTTTACAGAGATATTGATATCAACGTTGATCTATATAATGATGTAAATGCTGAAATTAGTGATGAAAGTTCGGAGGAAGATAAACCTCCGAAAGATGGTGATGAAAGTGAACCTGATGAAGATATCGATGATATTAGAGATTTTTCTCAAAATGGTGTAAATCTTCATAATCATGATCAGGGTGTGTCTCATGACATACCCTATTTCAGGACATTAGAGAATGAGGAAGACATTTTTATGTCTACATGTGAATCTGAGATGGAATGTTGTTCCATTTGGTCTGAGCAAGCAAAAAAAGATTTAAAAAAAGGTATGTTTTTTAGTAGTAAAGAAAAGTTTAAAATGGCTGTAACGATTTGGAGTTTGCACAAAAATAAGGAGTTCAAGGTGGTAACATCTACCAAAAGTCTATGGGTTGTGAGATGTAAGTTTTATAATTTATTGGGTTGCATGTGTTTTCTTCGAGGACGACAAGTTGGAGATAAACTTTGGAAGATAGGAAAATATGTTGAAAACCATAGATGTGAGACTGAGGGGCTTTCTAGCGGTCACGCCAACCTAAATACCAATTTGATTGCATCACTACTTCTAAATCAAATTAGAAAAAATCCTAAGTTCTTGGTGGTAGATGTCATTTCAAAGGTTCATGAAAATTTTGGTCACCAAGTGACATATAGGAAAGCATGGCTTGGACGTCAACGCGCATTTGAATTGGTATATGGTGACTTTGAGAAATCATTTAGTGACCTACCTAAATTTTTTGCAGCTTTTCAACACTTTAACCATGGAACAATTGTGGAATGGAAACACGAAGAGTCTATGAGTTCATCGGAGGTAAAAACTTTTAAATTTGTATTTTGGGCTTTCAAGAC